AGCTTCTGCCTGCCCCCGAGACCCTCTACCCAGCCCCGTCCCCCAGTTCCGCCACCCGTTCCCTCCTCCTTGCTGCCTCGGCGCTCTCTGCTCCCCCGAGGCCTCTCCTGGGGACGCCTCGGCTCCCGGCCCAGCTCCTGGCTCCTCTCCTCTCTTCTCCTCTCCTGCGGGCTGTGGGCTCCCGACTGCTCGGCCCATTCGGCTGCTTGGTTCCGGTTCCCAGGTCCAGCGGTGGCCAGACTCGCCCGGCACAGTAGGTAGCAAGTCCCCCACCCCCTCCCGCTCTGTCCCAGTCCCCCATCCTCTCCTGGATATGTAGTGAAACCTGATTGTGCAGCTGCCATCCTGATTTTTCTGACACCCCAGCACTTCCTGTGATGCCATTAATGGTCATTAAAGAATGCAAGTTTTCAAATGCAGAATTTTTTTTTCATTTTTTATTCATATTTTATTGATTTCATTTATATAAAACATCTTGTATTTATGGCTTATTTTTGGAAGCTGTGGGGCAGGGTGTGTTTTGTGGGAGTAGGGGAAGGAAGGGCAATGAAAATGAGCATCCTTCCATGCGAGTCCATCTACCTCGAAGTGTAGCTAAAAAGACAGACGAGTCACTTGACTGTTCTCTCATCTAAGTCATTGATGAAGATATTGAAGAGTCCTGCGCCTAAGACGGAACATTGTGGTACCCCACTGCTTACTTCTCTCCATGTGGATGTAGTGTAGTGAGAGAGAGAAAAAGAGAGAAGGGGGGGAGAGAGGGAGAGAAAGAGAGAGAAAAGAGAGGGAGAGAGGGAGGGAGAGAGAGAAAAAGAAAGGGGGAGAGGAGAAAGGGAGAAAGAGGGAGAGAGAGAAAGAGAGAGCGAGAGGAAGGAGGGAGAGGGAGAGGAAAGAGAAAGAGAGAGAGAGAGACGAAACAGAGAAAGAGAGAGAGAGAGAGAGAGAGAGAGAGAGAGAGAGAGAGAGAGAGAGAGAGAGAACTCATGCACAGCAGCCTCTATTTTATTTTTAATTAAACCCTTCAAACAAGCTCCGCCCCTCATGCCTGTGCACGTGCGCTTGCAAGTTTTGCTGCTCCCAGTGTTTTTTTTTCCTCTGCGAAACGGGTCCAAATGGCTCTTTGAGTGTTTAAGGTTGCAGACCCCTGGCTTAGGCCATCATTTTGCAGGATTTCGAGGTATACTGAGAAAATGCCATTTTGGTTTTCAGAACATCAAAGAAGCAGCTAGGAAGATATGTATCTGCTGAATCGGTTTCTCCTGTTGAAAGAAAAACCATCAGGTCCAGTCCAAGCTGGGAATAAATAAAATGGAGGCTGTTTGGAAAGAAGGTTCTTGTTTATTTACTTACCCGAAACTTCAGTGACACAGCATGTTTCTGGGTGGCTGACAAAATGGAGCTGGGAATGGTGGGCTTTTATACCTTCTTTGGGCTTTGTATTTGAGGTTCTTCCTGTCCCTGTGCAATGTACTTACACCTGGCTTGAGTGTGCCCTTTTTGGGTTTTTTAATGGTGGTGGGTTAATCCTATTATGTCCTAAAGGTCATGTTCCTGTCCTTCATCTCTTCATTTGGAGGCTCCTTTCAAGTAGGAAGGCCTGAATCCAGTCCGCAAATCCCACGGGAGCCCTCTTCTCCGTTCCATCATCCCGCAGCTGTGTTGATTGCAGTTCCAAGAACTCCCATGGATGAGATGCCCATAGGTCAGAAGCATCCCCGATGATGTAATCAAAGCTCTGCTGGGAATGCTGGGAGTTGTAATTGAACCTGTCTGAAATTGTCAAGCTGAAGAAAGCCATCCCCAGGACAGATTCAAGACACCAGACCCCCTCCTGAAGATCAACACTGTGTTTGCACCCAGAAGCTCTTTCCCCTCTGTCCTTCTCCCACTTCCTATCTCTTTCCTCAATTCCCAGGAAAGAAGAAGAATCCGGTGCAATGAGTCATCCTGATTTGCAGCCTCCCACTTGTGGGCCTTCTCCTGCATTTGCTACTCTGGACAAGCAGGTAGCCACTCCCAAGAAACCTTCAACCTTCCACAAAATGTCAAAAATGAAGACGTGGCTCAAGATTTCTTAACATCCATCTTGAAATAGTCAGTTAACAATCACTGCCCCAAAGAAAGGAATAGAGCAGTCCATGGAGTGTGGGCGATGGGGAGGTCCTGCCCTTCTGATCTGGCCAGCTTCTCAGCTCATGGTCCAGCCAGCTGGGCGCAGGGCCAATGGCTCTCCGGTCTCTGACCGACGTGCCGGTTCCATCTGCCCATAGAAGGCAGGAAAGGAGTCACAAAAAGGGACAATTTTACAAAAGGATCATCATCGTCGTCGTCATCATTACCAAGAAAGCCAGACCAGCTTCAGTTCCCAGAGAGGCTCCAGGCCCCTCGCAAAGCCTGTTGCATGAGGAAGCCTTTTGACAAAGGAGCACAGACTTGGCCGACTCTTCCTTAGTGCTCTTGTGCCAAGGAAGTCCCTGGGAGTCATAGAGACCCCCAATCTTGCCCACCTCCCCCTCCTTGCCTCCCTCCCACCATCCACAGGGAGTTGGATTCCCCAAGGTCGATGGGGGTGACAACCTCCTTAGCGGAGCTGTTTTCACACCATTTGTCTGTTGTCTCAGCACAATTCTGGATTTCCAGAAAGCTGGCAAGAGGCTCCCAGGAATTAAAACCCACCAGCAAGAGCAAACAGAGTCCCACATCCAAAAGAAAGAACAGGGAATGTGGCTCCAGGTCTGCTCTGGGACGGAGCACAGAAAGCTCAGCTATTCTGCAGCGACACCACGGAGGGAGGACAGAAGTGCTGATGGAGCTGCAGAGAGTCAGCAACGTAAAACGAGACCTCTGTAGGCCGTTGAAAATGCTAGTGGCACTGAAAAAAGGTATTTATGACCAGTCCTTACAGTTACAACCATTGCAAAATTCCCAGTCATACGATCAAAATATGGGCACTTGGCAGCCAGCTTGTATTTGTCACGGTTGCAGTCTTTGGGTCATGTGATCTCAATTTGCAACTTTCCCAACCGGCTTCCAACAAACAAAGTGAATGGGAAAAGCCGGATTCCCTTAATGAAACGAACCCCAAACTCGGGATTCATTTTACAACTGCAGCGATTTCTTTAACAACGGTAGCTCTGACTCACAGAAGGACCTGCTTGATTCGCCAAGGAACGGCGGGCTTGTATCATGGCCATAAGTCAAGGACTCCCTGCATCCCTCGGGTTCCCTAGATGGATCCCTTGCAGTAGTGCAGTCGCTGTAAGTAACAGAGTGTCTCAAACCTTGGCGGTCACTCTGCAGATCCCAGAGGAATTCAAGCAAGGCCGCCCTCCGTGGGGGGAGATGAGCCCCCTGAATTGGGCAGCTGCACCCAGGCGGTTTTCCTGTGAGGGATACAGCTTGGCCACTTTCTTTCTCTCTCTCTCTCGTTTTATTTTTTATTGCTTTAAGGCATAAAATGCAAAAAGACACAAGACAAGAGTAGGAAGAATTTTGGAGGAAAAAAGGGAGGGAAAAGGGGGAAAGAGAAAGAAAAGGCGTTAACTTCCAACTCCATTCGCAAACTAACCCCGGCATTTCCTAGTGGTCTCCCATCCCTGCTTTAATCCAAGTCTGCTTAAACTTTTCCAGATCAGTCCACTGCTACATCCTTAAGGCAGTCCTCGACTTACAACCAGAATTGAAACCAGTATTGCCATTGCTAAGCTAGGTGGTCCTTAAGCGAGTTGTCCTCAGATTTACGGTGTTTTTGACATGATCGTTAAGCGAATCACAGTAGTTGTTTAGTGAATCAGGCAGTCATTAAGCAAGTGCAGTTTTGCCCATTGCTGTCACTTGTCGTAACTCCAAGCCGATGGCCCTGCACCCGTCATGAGTGTGCGATCCTGGTGTTGCTGCTACAGTCATATGTGCGAGGACCCGTGATACATCACTCTTTTCAGTGCCATTGGAACTTTGAACGGTCCCAAAAGCAAAGGCTATAAAACGAGGACTATTATGGGGTACTTGTTTAGGGACTGTACAAGATTTAATCTTTTTGTTTCTTTAGCCACATTCTCATAACATCTTTTTAAGATGAATAACATCTAATCCTTATGTGTATTTCCCTTCGACTCCATTTGTCATGGACACAAAACCCTGGATTCTCTGGATCTCTAATGCTAGATTTCAGATGCAAGGGACAACGTTTTAATTTGGACTTTACCCCCCAAAAAAGGGGCAACATCTGTGGCTTCCCAGCTCTCCGGACAATGGACAGTTGTCCATTCAGGTGGAGGAGCTCTGGTGGATGAGGATTCAGGGCTCACTTGCAAAAGCCCCTGAAGAGCCGGCCAATCAGTGAATAAGCCAGGCCCTCCAGTGAAGGCAGCCAGTTGGTGATTATTTTTCAACTCTCAGCTTGGCTCCTCCTAACCTCATTGGCTGGAGGTTGCCATGACAACCTCCAGCATCCTTGGTAGTCTGGACCACAGGGCTGGAAGGCTCTGTTCCAAATCCCTGGAAAGTGACTGGATTGGATGGCTGGCACTGTGGGCACAGCGAGGATCTCCCTCGTTTGGACGTGTCAGAAGGAAGAGACACTTCCCATTAAGGCAGAATTAGGGGGCGAGACTAGAAAAGTGGGGTTCAATCCCGGATCACAGCGATGCTGATACCTGCCATGTTAGCAGCCTCCATATATGTGACCAAACTGCCAATCCACCATCTCAAAGGTACATATCTCTGGATAGGGGCTGGGACCAGCTGGCTGGGGGGATGGGACAGCAATGTGATTTAGGAAAAAATGGTCTTCAAGATGTCCCAGTTCAAGATACACATTGAGACCACAAAGGTAGAAATTGACCGGGCTCAATAATTTCGGGAAATTAAGCTAAAAAGAGACTCCTTTGGCTACATATGGTTATTTCCCGAACATACTCGGCCTGGTGATAGATTTACTTATTTATTTATTATTTTTATTACTGAGATTTATTACTGACCTTTATTGTTTTCCTAAATAGCTCAAGGCAGTGAACATACCGAAGACTCCTTCGTCCCTACAACAACAAGCTTGTGAGGTAGGCTAAGACTGAGAGAGGGAGACTCAGCAGGCTGTCGTGCCTTGGATGGCCCTGGTCAGTACTTGGAGCGGAAGCTTCTTTCCTAATTCGCCTCTTTCGGTCACCAGAAGCAACCTAGTAGGGCCAGAGATGGCCAAACTGATCGATTGCTGATACCGACTCCTTTGCACTCTTTTGAGAGGTGATTTGACTTGAACAGGAGTCAGAATCAAATGGGAAGTTGGGATAGTTAGAAGGGAGGTCATGATCGATGCATTATGTCTGTGTTTCCCAAAATGGGCCACTTTAAGGCCGGTTAGCAAAATGGCCCCTGAATGGAGGTTAGATGTGACTGTCTCTCCATTTCTTCAGACAGGTCAGCAACAGGGAAGAAACGGCCCTACAGTGAATAACCCCGGGCTATCTCTCAGTGGCCAGTGATGGTTCTCTATTCCAGGATTTTCCCAGGAATTGATGTCAAGCTCTTTTTCCAGTTCTCTGGGAGCTCCCCTGGGCTGCAGGAGCATTCAGAAATGACGTTTGGTGACACCAAAATTAGGTCTGCCAGCTCCTTTGGAAGCCTGGGAGGGTCGGCGTGATTTCTACCCATCCAGAGTGGATTGGTCCTCTTTGACTAATTTCGTGCCTATTTGGAATCGTATATAGATTCTATCTCTCTCGATGTTGCTGTTGATAGGCTGTTTTTTTTTTCTTTTGCTGAAAAAGAGATGGAAAGGAGTTAAGGATTTCTGAATTCACCCTGCTGCCTGTCTCCTTCCTGCCTTCTGCTCCCATTAGTGGACCTATTGACTTTCTTGACTTTCTTCGTGTTCCTTACATAAAATTTTCCTTTATTATTTTTGGCCTTTGTTGCCAGTCTTTGCCCATTCCAGGCCTTTGCTATTCCGAGTCGGTCCTTGCAAATTCAGTCTACTCGCTGGTATTCTGCTTTACTTATGTGCCCTTCTTTCCATTTTTTTCTACCTGACCATATTGTACTTCTCAGAGGGCTCTTTGAGCAACCATTCTGGTATCTCATGATATCTTTAATTTTTCTGTGTCTTATTGTTTTTGCTCGGTCCTTCATCGTTTCATTTTCCAGGGTTTTCTTTTAATCAAAATGGACATATATATAATACGTTACAGGTGTAGAGTTTAGCTATCTATTAGGGCTTGTTAAGGCACTTGAGCTATGTTTTAACCAAACAAGCTTTTTAAAAAGTGGAGACATATAATAAAGGAGAGAAATATCGGCATATATAGGGGGGGGGGTTAGGATTTTATTTATTTATTTATGAGACTTATATACTGCTTTAAGTGCAAGCACTCTCTAAGCGGTGTACACCAGTAAGCTATGTATATATATATATATTTACATTGCCCCCAACAATCTGGGTCCTCATTTTACCTACCCCGGAAGGATGGAAGGCTGAGTCAACCTTGAGCCGTTGAGATTTGAACCGCTGACCTGCTGAACACAGTCAGCTAAAGCGGCCAGCAGTACTGCACCCTAACTGCTGCGCCACCTCGGCTCTTTCATACTTTACATATGATACATGCAGTAGACATATATAATGCATTACAAAAATAGTATAGTTATTGAAGATTTGTTTTAGCCTTTTTTTAAAGTGGACATATGCATTGAAAATAGAGTGTAGGAATATATTAGGGCATTTTTGGTAACTCGAGGTTTGTTCTAAATAAATGTATTTCTCAAACTGTGAACATATATGGTGCAGGACAAAAGTGGGGTGTTGGGGCTTTTTGAGTTACTGGAGGTGTGTTGTAACAGAATGTTTTTTTAACGTGGCATATATAATGCAGGCGAGCAATAGAGTACTTACAGCTGGATGTTAGGTCGTCCTTCTCTGACTCCCCCCGAGAGGCTCTGGAGCAGCAGGAGCTTCTGCCTGCCCCCAAGACCCTCTACCCAGCCCCGTCCCCCAGTTCTGCCACCCGCTCCCTCTGCCTTGCTGCCTCGGGGCTCTCTGCTCCTCCGAGGCCTCTCCTGGGGACCCCTCGGCTCCCGGCCCAGCTCCTGGCTCCTCTCCTCTCTTCTCCTCTCCTGCGGGCTGTGGGCTCCCGACTGCTCGGCCCATTGGGCTGCTCGGTTCCGGTTCCAGCGGTGGCCAGACTCGCCCGGCACACTAGGTAGCAAGTCCTCCGCCCCCTTTCTCTCTGCCCCAGTCCCCCATCCTCTCCTGGATATGTAGTGAAACCTGATTGTGCGGCTGCCATCTTGATTTTTCTGCCACCCCAGCACTTCCTGGGCGAGTCCCTGCTGCCATTAATGGTCATTAAGCAAGTGCCGTTTTGCCCATTGCTGTCACTTGCCGTAACTCCAAGCTGATGGCCCTGCATCCAAGTCCCGAGCGTGCGACGCTGGAGATGCTGCTGCAGTCATATGTGCGAGGACCCGTGATACATCACACTTTTCAGAGCCATTGGAACTGTAGGCACAGCGAGGATCTCCCTCGTTTGGATGTGTAAGAAGAAAGAGACGGTTCCCATTAAGGCAGAATTAGGGGGCGAGACCAGAAATGTGGGGCTCAATCCCGGATCACAGCGGTGCTGATACCTGCCGTGTTAGCAGCCTCCGTACCTGTGGACAAACTGCCAATCCACCATCTCAAAGGTACATGTCTCTGGAAAGGGGCTGGGGCTGGCTGGCTGGGGGGAGGGGGCAGCAATGTGATCTAGAGAAAAATGGGTTTCAAGATGTCCCATTTCAAGATACACATTGAGACCACAAAGCTAGAAATTGACCGGGCTCAAAGATTTGGGGAAATTAAGCTAAAAAGGGACTTCTTTGGCTAGATATGGTTATTTCCCGAACACACTCGGCCTGGTGATAGATTTACTTATTTATTTATTATTTTTAATACTGAGATTTATTACTGACCTTTATTGTTTCCCTAAATAGCTCAAGGCAGTGAACGTACCGAAGACTCCTTCGTCCCTACAACAACAAGCTTGTGAGGTAGGCTAAGACTGAGAGAGGGAGACTGGCTCAAGGTCACCCAGCAGACTCTCGTTCCTTGGATGGCCCTGGTCAGTACTTGGAGCGGAGGCTTCTTTCCTAATTCGCCTCTTTCGGTCACCAGAAGCAACCTAGTAGGGCCAGAGATGGCCAAACTGATTGATTGCTGATACCGACATCTTTGCACTCTTTTGAGAGGTGATTTGTCTTGAACAGGAGTCAGAATCAAATGGGAAGTCAGGATAGTTAGAAGGGAGGTCATGATCGATGCATTATGTCCGTGTTTCCCAAAATGGGCCACTTTTAGGCCAGTTAGCAAAATGGCCCCTGAACGGAGGAAGGATGTGACTGTGTCTCTCCATTTCTTCAGACAGGTCAGCAACAGGGAAGAAACGGTCCCACAGTGAAAATCCCTGGGCCAGTGATGGTTAAGCAGTCAAGAGATGCCTTTTACCTTCAGACCCAGGAATTCAAGAGACAAACGATGGATGAAAGAGCAGCACAGTTGCCTCAAGAAGACGGTCGATCAACTAAAGAGCACAACAAAAAAGTGGCAGAAAACTGCTGGACAAAAGAGAAAGGTTGGAGCGTGCCACCACCATGATCCCTCAGCGAGGGCTAAAGATCAAATATTTGGTGAAACACACTGAAGAACTGCACAAAGAAAGTTGCAGGTCAGCAGCCAAACGGCCTTTCTCAAATATGAGAAGGCTGCCTTAGAACCTTTGAGAAGAGGTCTTGAAGAAATCTGGAATCTTCTTAAGAACTTAAGAAGCACCTCTAAAGTCTGCAGCATGAACAGGTTGAGACGGACCAAAGTTACTACGTGGAGAAAAGCTTACTCCTGCCAACTGATGCAGAAAGTCAGTCCTCTTCAGTAGAATGTGAGGGAATATAAGAAGCAATTCAACAATCTACAGCAGCAACAGCAGCCGCCGCAGAGCTATGCTTCCCAGGCCACAGTGGGAGACCTGTGGAAAACCGAGGAGGAGAAGGGAGAAGGACTGAACCATGCCAAAATGGCGATGCAAGAATTAGAGTTGCAGACCAGGTGTTTCGAGAAAGACAGTGAAGATCTCCACAGGGAGCTCCCCAGCCAATTGACCTTCTTCAGAAATGGTTTTGGTACTCCTAAGCGACCAGCACATGGGACAACTTGCTGACCCTCTCTCCCCATAGTTGGAATGGAGGAACGGTGGCCTTTTACCCTTTCGAGAAAGAAAAGGAATTCTTTCCCTCCCTTCCCCTGACTTGCCACTTAGGGTGCCAGGGAGCCAGGCGAGCCCCCCCCTTACCAGCTGAAGCAACAGCTTCACCCTCGCCTTCCCAGTCACTGCAGGGCTGTCAGCTGAGCTGAAAACTTCACAGTCACTGAGCATCAGGGCCTCAGAAGGCTGGGGAATCCCAGGGCTCCGAGCCAAAAAGGAGCCTGGAGATGAGGTTGAGTCCACAGACTCAGCTCCAAGCCTCAGAGTTCCAGCTGAGGACAAGGGGCACCAGTGACAGGGTGAGGGCTCTGCAGTGGGGAGAGCAGAAAATCTGGCCAGAACAGGATCTGGGACTGAGAACCGAGTGGCCGAACAAGCCGAACAGCTGGGATCCGAGCAGCCCACAGGAGAGGAGCAGAGAGGAGAACAGCTAGAAGCCGAACTGGGAGCCGAGGGGTCCACAGGAGACGCCACGAGGCAGCAGAGACCCCCGGAGGCCGCAAGGCTGACGGAGCTGGTGGCAGAGCTGGAAGACAGGGCTGGGCTGAGGGTCTCGGGGGCAGGCAGACATTCCTGCTGCTCCAGAGCCTGCAAGAGAGTGGCAACAGAAGGGAGAAGCCGGGGGCGGTCAGTGGCCTGTGGGTGGTCAAGTAGTCTTAGGGGTGGTAGAACATAAGAGATTGATTCATAGGGCTGCAAGGGACTTTGGAGATCTTCTAGTCGAGCCCTCTGTTCAAGGCAGGAACTTTCTGCCATCCCAGTCAAAATGGTTTGCTTGTCCATTTTTGAAAACTTCCAGTGATGGAGCACTCACAACTTCTTACTGTCTGAAAATTTCTCCTGACTTCTTGGTTGGATCTCCCTTTAAATGTCCACTCTTGTCTTTTTGCCTGCCATGCAGTTTTTAAGTCACTCCCTGTCCTGTGAGACAGATCCTAACAGTGTGGAAGACTGCTATTGTGTCTGCCCGATCCTTATCCAATTCAATAGGCTACACATAGCGAACTCCCTGAACCGTTCATGAAACGATTTAGCCTCCAGATCTTAAATCATCTTTGTTGCTCTTCTCTTCACCCTTTCTGCAGTTTCGTGCCTATTTGGAATTGTATATAGATTCTATCTCCCTCAGTGTTGCTGTTGATAGGCTTTTTTTTTCTTTTGTTGAAAAAGAGATGGAAAGGAGTTAAGCATTTCTGCATTCACCCTGCTTCCTTTCTCCTTCCTGCCTTC